GCAGATTTCCTTGCTGCACTTAGTTTTCTCCCTTCCTTGAATTTTTCTGACTTTATAAAAGGTTTCTATTATTCATGAGTAATAAGCATAAGACTACAGTTTGTTGTAACATGCATTATGCTATCATGCCAAAACTATTGATCTAAAAGTTTTTATCCAAAGTTCTGATGTCTGAAAGTTTTTTGTTTGGATTTGTTTCCTGACATTTTTTCCTGGATTTTTTTTATAATTTCAATGATGTCTTCCAATTGTTTTCCAATCATAGACCGTAAACAGGGTCAGATTTCAACTTCGCTTCCCTCATTTCTGACAAAAGGCTCTCTCTGGACTAGTTTATCTACTTAGAGAGCTCCTCCTTAATCAGTCAATATTAAATTCAATCATGTAAAGTAATTTTTCCATTTGTTTTTAGTTCTGTTAGTTTTTAGTTCATAGTGTTGTAATATATCTTAATTGTAGAGTTTTGTGTATAAATTGTATTTAGGATTGATTGATAATGAATGAAACTGAAAAAAACTGTATGAACGAGCGGCTAATTTTATTTTGTTGATAGAAAAATGGAAATAAGATTGTTATTGGAATTATGGAAGCAGTAGGCCATGGTCAGACAGACTAAACCAACCTTAAAGGAAAAGGACAATGCTGGCTTACTTAAGAATATTCAGCAAATTATAACCTAATTAATATCATTAATTTACAGAAAATATCGATGCATTGTACAGAGGGTAGTAAGCCTAGTTCAATTTTCATACCTTCATCATGTCCATATGTGGCATACCACTGTTGTTTTTCGGCATATGCATATTCATTTTGATATTTTCTTGGCCTTTGTTCCTTGATGGAACGATGAAAACATAGATTAGCTGTTAACCACAACAGTGAAATACCTAAAGTGCTAAAATGCACTGACAATTTATTTTCAGGATCCAGCCTGGAGTCAAGTTTGCCCTTGGTGGGCCTAAAGTGCTTCTAGCTACGCGGTTATGGAATACAACAAAGGTGCTTCTACAGCGAAAACACATATAAACGAATACCTGCTGCTATTATATTAATATTGAATTCATTTGCCTTGCTTCAGAAGACGCTAATTTCCAGCAACTTAAAAGTAATGCATTTTGTATGACAAGACGCTACAATCTTTTCATCAAAAATTAAGGTCTTGTGACAAAGCCGCACGTATAGCTCACAGGCTGCTGCGAAGGCTTTTAGGGGATTCCAATGAGGTGAATTAACGATATTCCGCTAATCCTCGAATTGGCCCCCCTCCTCGAAAAAGCCCCCTCGAATAAGACCCATCCCTAAAGCTAAAAAAATGTCAACAAGCCCCCCTCGAATAACCCCCCATCCAAAAATGTCAGAAATAAATAAGCCCCTAGGGGGCTAATTCGAGGAATTACGGTATTATCCTGTCTCTATGGGCTACAACATCAGAGAATCTATAAGAATACTTGCATAGGACTACGTCTAATTACAAGTGGTTTTGGCAAACATTACTTTCAGATTTAGGGTCGCTTGTGATGTGGAGTTACCAACAAACACCCTCCCCCTCTTTTCCATACTAAAAGAAATTACATATCTGCCTTCAAAGCTATTTGTCCAATAAACACCCTGCGTCTCTCTTGAACCTTGGTATAGACTGGGATTAAGGTTTGGGTTAACTGTAACATGGAAAATTACTTTATTTTTGCTACGATACGAAGGATTCTTTAGATCTCTATCTTCTTTATCTAACCAATTCTGTGATCTAACTCTCCCTCTTATACATATTACGTCATTTGTATAGTTTTGACGCGAGATTGCCCCGAGAGATTGCACCACGATGTGCAAAATAAAGGAAACAACTAATTCTAACTTTTTGCTGGATATGTTTAGAATTAACGATTGTAAAAAATAACCAATCGGATAATTTGAAACTTAAAAAGTACGTCGGGGAATCCCAGGTTATTGCAGTTTTTAGCCAGGCAAAAACACTAGACACAACCAGTTATCTCATCCTGCTGCCACAAGAGGCTGTTTCAAGCAGAGGCTCGTGCGAAAGATTTTTCATTCATGTGCTGTGGCTAGGCCATTATTGATAGAAAGACTAGCAAGTTACTACGATTCTCGTGTTAATAAAACCATCTACTGGAGGAAATATCTTAATTTCTTTAGAAAAAATTTATATAAAGATGGGTAAGAAGAAAGACCGTAGAAAAGGAGAGGCCATAGGCGCTGAGGACAACGAAATCGACGATAATAAAGACGACGTTGTTGGTGGTACTGACGTAAAAAGTAAGTCCAAGTCAAAAAAACGATCAAATAAACTAGATATGCTGAAACAGGCCATAGAAGAGGGGGATTCTGATGGTGATGATAATAAAGAAGCTCCGGTGGATGAAACAAAGCAGGAAGAAGGGAAAAAAGGAAAGAAGGGCAGGAATAGGAAAGCCGAAGGAAAAAATTCCGCGGAAAAAGGAACAGCAGATTCGCAAATGGAGAGCAAGGACAACGAAGACGAAATGGATGATTTAACCGATGATTTCAGTAAAACTCGGTTTGACCATAGTTCAGAAAGTGAAACAGAAAAAGATAAGGGCGAAGAAGACGAAAAAGGTACGCTTATACGATTCTCGTGTACTCGATATATGAAGCTCGTATGTATGATAGGAATCACAATAATTTCTTATGTTCTTTATCATCAAAACAGAAGTTACAATACAGATTGCAAATTGAATTGTTGCAAATTTTCTAAGCTGATGTCAGAGGTGCAAAAAACTGTGTCTATCCCCACGGCCAATAAACGACTTAAGCCAGGCTCAATAATGTTGATTTCTGGGTTTTTCTAATCAAAACTGGTCTTTTTTGCTAGTGAATTTTTGAGTAAGCAGGAGTCTGTTTTTTTAGGTTTATAGGAAAGGGTTTAGTTGCATTACATTAAAATTTGCATGAAAAAATTCTTAGGGAGCCTAGTATATCCGCATTGTGATAATGGAGCAAACTAATCTATTGTGATACCTTAAAGGAAGGACAAACAAGCAAAAATTATTTTATATCTTTATTCCATCATTCTCTAATTTTTTATGATACAAACTTGTCCTAATAAAAACATGTTTTTGTTACCCTCAAGTTGAGGAATCAAGCAATTGGATTTTTCAAGGAGAGTGTGTACCAGTCATGCTTGATCCATTTCAGGTCCATAAGCTCCCCTGGACAGTAACATTATGTTGAGTTAGCTCAAGTTATTTTTTGTTTAAAGTAAAGTTGAGCTTTATGTTTCAGACACCTATTTAAAAACCCTATATAAGAAAGAAATAGAAAAAAATTTAAAATTCTTAAATCAATTTTCTCAGTAGATGAATAACTAAAGCCTTAATATGATATAGGTTTACTTGAAAAGTTAAAGTATTAAATATATTTAGAAATGGCTCTTTTGATCATACTATTTCAATAACAAAGAGTCAGGTTGCTTTAGTGACCATAATTAAAGACAAAAATCACTCTTTTGCCACATACATTGTTTGAGACTAATGGACCTATTGAGAAGAGTCTGTGTCAGGGACTGCAATATCTTTGTGATGACAAGTGATGAACCTTTATGAGATTATGAATTTCTGCAATAAACATATTTATGTGTCTAGAAGTCATGTTACATACTAGTTGTTTGCAATTTGAGGTATCAAGTTGATGATCCATTTTTTACTCAGTTTTGTTGTTTAGGTCTTTTGTTCCTTTTGGTTAATTTCTATCAATATATTTTTGTAGCCATGAGTAAGAAAATGACAAGAAAAGAGAAAAAAGAAGCACAGAGAAAGGTATTTAATATCCCAGGCGTTGAATGCTTTAAGATTACACAGAGCTTGTCAGTACATTTATGCTATATTGAGAAAAAGGAGGGCAAGCTGATGTGTGGATGGCTTTGTGGCTAGGGTTGCAGGCTACGGATCCAAGGATCTGGAGCTCAAGTTCCTGGTATGACCAACCCTTTGCCAAGAGTTGCCAGCTCTCTGCAATTCTAGGTGTAGGGACCATGAGGTATGGTTGCATTAAGAAGAGGACCAGGACATTGCCTGATATCTTCTCAGTGTCCTAAAAACTACCTTCAGATACTAGGTAGAAAAAAATAAAAAGAAGAGTAAGGCAAATGCAATATTGATGTTCTAGTTTATTTATTTTCTAATTATACTTGTATAATTTTCTGATGAATACTATAAATGCGATTTCATTGATATCAATTCTAGACTCAGTAATCTATCCAAGGGGTATAGCTGCTGATTATGAAAACATTGTAGAAGCATTCACAGGCCTGTCTACCACATCAAACACTTTTAACGAAGACATTTAATATTCTTCTATTGAAACCTACTTTCATGATATTGTTTGTTTGTTCCATTCCTAAGGTGTTTAAATGATAGACTTGAAAAGAGATTCATTTCCATTGTTGAATTAGTTCAATATTTTTATGAACAGGCAAAATTTGAAGCTGAAATGGGCAAGATTGCTGTTGAAGGATCACAGTTCTCAGTCTCACAACAAGAGCAATCAGCCAAAGGAGCTCTGCTTGAAAATGCAATGGACATCAAGGTTAGAAATTATTCAGCTGAATAAAACTGCCTTGTAATATAATTTTTTCTGCTGTTATGTGACAGATTAAATAACTGGGCAATATTAAATGATGCAGACAGTGTAACTAAAAGCAATCAGATAGCTTAAATGCAAACAGAAAACATCGAAAGTCAAACCATTGACTTTAAAACACCTTCTAATCTCTAGACTATCATTGTTTGATGAGGTTGCTGTATTACTTTTACAATGAGTTTTGAGTTTGTTTTAGTTCCTATTACTTATTATGCAATGGCAATAATATCTATCTACCTCTGTTCATATTTAAGTTTTTTATGGTTTTTTAATGTTGTCAAAAAGTAGTACGTATTTTGTTTTCAAATACATCTCTGCTTGTTTCCAGATTTAATTTTTGGACTCCCACTCTGTCCAATCTTTGTGTTCTTTTTAGTATTTTTTCGTTTTGCAGATTGAACAATTCAGCATAGCAGCTCGTGGAAAAGACTTGTTTGTTGATGCAGAGCTAACAATTGCACACGGAAGGAGATATGGCCTTGTAGGCCCAAATGGGTTTGTATTTGTCGCAACTTTGATGTCAATGCATGGAGGTAAACTTTTTTCCCTCGATGGCAAATTTGGCCCTCTGACTTATAAATAAATGAAGGGCTACAAGCCCTGCTAACGAAATTGGGAAAAGATAATTCCCATAGATTGACCTACTACAGTCAAGACGTAGTTTTAAACTTTTTTCATAAGGTATGTGCAGATATGTATGTATGTTTCATAAGATAATTTTATAAAGTTTTGTCGAAACCTTGCCAAACTTTGTAAAAACATCGCTATATCTTTGGTTAATAACTTCAGTTGCACTACACATTATACTTTAAACAATATATCAAGTTGTTATCTAATAATTATTCAACACAATTGCACTTGGTGAGAGGTAGAACGAAGTATTGGAATTTCTCTCAGTATATATTCTTTAAATATTCTGAAACATAATAGCACTGCTTAATGTATTTGGTTTGATAGATAGAACATTTCGACCGCACATTCATGAAGATATTCGGTTCCTTATTCATTAATTTTTTCACCTTTTCATATCTTTCCATTGACCTAATTCTGCTTATTCATTTAGCAATAAGTAACCCGCTTACTGCGATCAACAGCATATATATTTATTCAATATATGAATATAATGAATATATTTATTTCAATTATTGTGAGGATTTACAATATTTTTAGATACATGATACGTTTATAAGATAATATGTTCATAATTCATGGTGTATTTTTCAGAATGGGTAAAACAACCCTCTTAACACACATTGGAAGCCGTGCCCTAGCCATTCCATCGAGTATTGACTGTCTGCTTTGCGAACAGGGTTCGTCCTTTTTAACATCGTCATTCTCGCACAATCATATTCTCATAAAATTTTTACAAAACAAAGAAATTACAAGACGATGCCTCAGGTAGCATGGAAACACTTAGCAAATGTACTTGTACTTAAAATGGCTTGTTTTAAGGCTAATGTAAAATTTCGTAACTTATATGCAAGTCGTTACAGCTGTGCTTTTACCATATAGTTACTGTACTTAAAGTAGAAGCTACGATTGCCTCTTTAGGTAAATTTGACGAAAGCTCTAAAAAGGAGAACATAGACTTCTAAATAGAATTTCCAGATCCGTTGTTGAGCTCTTTGGCAGAAAAACTAGAATTCTCGCAATGTTAAGTCACAATCACTAGGCCGCTGCTACCAAATTTGGCTGAAAAAATTAGCTTGGTGATTTCTTATATGGCGGACATGAAGAATCCGGATAGATATCATGTTTTGCTAGATGTCATATTTTTAGTAGAGCGTTCCCTGACCCTAGGCGACCTGTGATTCGTTGATGTAGTCAAATAAACTCCTCAACGTGTATGACATGAGGTTAACGGATAATCCGAACCGGATTCTTCAGCTTCGCCTTCTTATCTCATGTTCAATTTGTTGACAGATGTACAGGCTGATGACACGCCCGCTGTTGATGTTGTTTTGAAGGCTGACAAGAAAAGAACAGCGCTACTGGAAGAAGTGCGTTTTCTTCGTACCTAAATTTTGCTCTTTCTTCCAATCACAGTTTATTTGTCAATGTGATAAACTGCCATGTACTTGCATTTATCGACTCCATTTGCATCTAATTGAAGAAAGTTTTTGTATAAAAACCCAATACTTTATTGCAATGTCTCTTCTGCGCATCATTCAAAATTTGATAAGTGAAATAACACCCTTATGGCTTTATTTGAATAATTTGATCAACGAGAATTGAAAAGAAAGGTGTTTGGGGGCTGAATAGGCACCGAAGACTGGAAGTAGGTAACGGAAAAGCTTTTTAAGGCTGTTCATGTAAAATGTTATCTTAATTTTTTTATAGGAGAAAAAGTTGTTGGTTGAAGTAGACAAGGGTTCTGACGCTGCAAACAAACGACTTAAAGAGGTAAAGGAAACTTGTAATTGAATAGTAAACCTAAATGATTTTTAGAATTTGTAGAAGGATATATTAAAGGCAGTATGTCGCACTGTTTGTTGAGTTGCGAAGATCTTCTGATAATAGCAAGTAAGAAACCTTCTTTGTTAAGAAATGAAAACTCACTGAAATAGAAGTTTGATTCTGTTTTTCGGTAAAGCATTGGACGGCGCGACATATTGCCTTCAAAGGATGTAGCAAAAAAGTTTATTTTTGTCACATATAAGTTGTATTGATTGATGTCGAGTTTGTAGCTGCCTGTGTTGATTACCTGGCAGCTTTTTACTGGCATTGTTCGCAATGCGAGTAAGCCAATCAATGTATGTTACACAGGCCATAAAATGTAGCTGTTTGTTTTATATTGTACCACATATGAGACCAATACCGTAATGCCTCGAATAAGCGCCCGGGCGCTTATTTAATTTTTAAGGCTCCAGGGTGGGCGCTTATTCGAGGGAGGCGCTTAATCGAGGGGGCTCTTATTCAAAAAGTAGGTTTGGGTACAAATTGTGTTCTTCATTAATCTTTCGTGTTGAATTGCTTTCCAATTATGTTTTCGTTGGAAATTCGAATAAGCGCCCATTTCTGAAGGTTAAAGGATGGGCGCTTATTCGAGGGGTGGGCGCTTATTCGAGGAAGGGCGCTTATTCAATAGCTTTACCTCGAGGGTGGGCTCTTATTCGAGCGGGGCTCTTGTTTGAGGGGGGCGCTTGTTCGAAGCATTACGGTAGTTTAAAGAGTCGGTGGCTAATATCTAATAATATAAAGTTTAGATTTTTATATCCCGGTGTTTGGAATCTGTTTGTATCAAAAAAAGGGGACCCGAATTGTGTAGAAAGAAAGAGTTCGTTTTCTCTCTTGGACTCTTCAGCTAGGTGGGAGGTTAGTGTTCGCTGATTGGTTAAAAAAATCGAATGGCCAATCAAACGCATCTTTCTCCCTTTCACATTGTTTTTGGTGCACGCCTGGATATAAATTCTCTGCTTACTTTCGATCATTATCCGCAGAATATTTTTATACGCATATACAACGGCTTACTTAAAATCTTATGTGATACTTTCACAAGCAGTTATCAGAGGTTTAAGGGTTATTGATTATTTTGCATTGAATTCTCGATTGCAAATTTTTATTTTTTTTGTCTGTTTAATGTATTATGGTTTTGTGAGATTGTTCTAATTTTTAATTTTAAAATAACAGAGTGCCTTTTATATCTGCTATCCAGTATTCCTAGAAAAGGTTTCTTGTTCATATAAAGAATTATTGATTTATGGAGTTTTGTCTCATTAGGTGTATACAGAGCTAGAAGTGATCGGAGCAGACAAAGCCGAAGCTAAAGCAAGAAGGATTCTAAATGTTAGTTGAATTTATGACTTTTTATTTCGAAAATCTTACTTGAAATTTACAAACTCTATTTTCAATTCAGCTATTTCCTGTGATTATTTATCTGTTCTGTCAAACAATGTAAAGTAAAGAAAGAAGGAGTAGAGGAACGGAAAGGAAACAATGAAAGGAAGCGAAGAAGGGAAATGAAAGAGAAAGGAAGAAAGGAAAGGAAGAAGAGAAGCGAAGAAGTGAAATGAAAGAGAAATCCAGGAAAGGAAATAAGAGAAATGAAATGGGAAACGAAAAAAGAAAATGCAGATAAAAAAGGAAGAAGGGAAATAAAGATAATTGTAGATACAGATTTACCTTTCACAACATTTAGGCATTTTTCAAATGTTGTAGACGAAGAACAAGGAACTGCAGTAATAAATTTAAACGCAGAGTTGATAAACTGGTCAACTAGTTATGTCTTGGTGATTGGCGAGGCGAGTCGCTTACTTTGCCAGTCATTTGGCAGCTGGCTTGAAAATATATCTGAATATGTTTTTGTGACATTTTAGGGTCTTGGGTTCACGATCGAGATGCAAAGTCGACCCACGAGACATTTTTCTGGAGGCTGGAGGATGCGTGTCTCATTAGCAAGGTAATATTTTTCAACTTCCTGGTGGAAGCTGTATTTTTAAAATGTTGTCTACGAGAGGGACCTACCCAAAGGTTTAGCGTAGTGCTTGGTAATAGAGAAGGCAACCAATTGTAGGCCATCTGCAGTCGATCATAACTGCATCTTGGTGTTATCTCAGTGCCGTATTATGGGTAATTTTTGATCATGCTTATACTCTTCATTCACGTCGCTAAATCAGAAGCGATATTCTTTTTAAACAATAATCTATATGTTATTTGGAATTGTCCGATACTTGCAGGTGTCCGTTGAACTGAGACTTTATTGTGCCATTTCTATTAGAAATTTTTCATAATCTACATTATTTTCTCATCTTCAATTTTATTTGCAGGGCTTTATTTGTTGAACCTACTTTGCTGATGTTGGATGAACCAACGAATCATTTGGATTTGAATGCAGTTATTTGGCTTGACAAGTAAGTGAAAACCAGAAACCCCCCCTCTCCCCCTCTCTTGTGTCCTTCGTTTACTCCACTCAAAATTTTTCTTATGGCTTTTATAAATCAGAAAAAGCCTGTGCGGTGAATGCTGAATTTTTATACGTGAAAAGAATCTTACAGATCCTTAAGAAGTGATATTGATATTGCCACCCCTATTATAATATAATGCTTTACATTCAAGTTTAGGATGGAACTAAGGGTATATTAGAGCGTTGCCCCCATCCCTCAGGTCGCTATCATCCTTGAACCAGTTTTCCAAATGCTGAAGTTTTCACTTCCTATCTTGCAAACCTGTTGTTGGTCTCAAAAAGTTTAATTTTGAAGTTTGTAGTTCATTTTAAACCCTTCCGGGATATCCCCAGCGAAATATATTTAATATACCCCGTTTGGTGCCTGTTCTGATATCCTTGTCGTCAACCTGTTCAAATATTTGCAAGTGAATTTTGTATAAAAAATCCTGTTTCGTGTTTTCTAGCCTTGTTGATTCACCTTCTCGATATTTCACAGCTTCTTTAGCCATTCAACTTCATTTATATATTCAAAATCAAACTTACATAGTTGTTTTATCATGTTTATTTGATTGTTTACATTCATTAAATATAAACTAGATGGCACCTTTCTTTTAGTTACCTACAATCATGGAAAAACACACTGTTAGTTGTGTCCCACGACCAACACTTTCTGGACAATGTTTGCACCGATATTATTCACCTAGGTAAAAAATTTTCCTTTTTAAGTTTTCCTTGTATGGTTTTAATAGACATCGGTGAATTTTAATCCAAAGATTGTGGTTGCATAGAAGTGGTTAGACCCGAGAAAGGTTATTAGGCCATTGAAGACCAATGAGATTCGGAGGTTGTTTTTCTAAACACTTCTGTTTTCAATATTTTTTTGAAGCTTTTTGCCTATCGTCAAGAAGAAAGACGAAGAAGATTTAAAGGAGTCGTACTATAGATTCATACCTATGTCAGTTTTTATCATACTATGTTAGAATACTAGTCACTTGTTTTTGTTAACCAAATCTTGTAAGTTTCTGTCCTTTAAATTTGCTCCTAAGTTAGATAATACTTTCTTAATCTATATTCTATATTCTTAATCTATATTCCTTGTGTATAGTTTTTAGAAGTAATATTTTGATTCATCTCTACCCCCAGATGACCAACAACTGTTTTATTACAAAGGGAATTACTGTAAGTCAACATTACATTTCCAGCTTACGTTGGTGTGCATGTGTTGTTATGGTATAGTGCTTTTCAATGTTATGTTCAAGTGTGTTGCTCACATCTTCAGTTACAGACAAGAATTTTTATCCTGCCTGTTTGAGATACATTTGATACGGTAGAGCCGCCCTTTGCCCTTGGTCCGTTCTTCAAGAAATTATTCGCCAGAACAGACACCTACCCTTGATTGATTATTTTTTCATTCTTTCATTCATTCAATCATTCGTTCGTTCGTTCGTTCATTCATTCATTCATTCATTCATTCATTCATTCATTCATTCATTCATTCATTCATTCATTCATTCATTCATTCATTCATTCATTCATTCGTCCATTTTATACTAGTTTATTTATTCAATAATTAATTGATTGATTGGTTGGTTGTTTTTCAAGAACCATGCTCAACTTGTAAACCCTTTGACTGTACGTTTCTTCTCTCTCATTCCCTGCAAAAGTGTTGCTTAGTTTCTGGTTTCTGTACGACGGTGCGAATGGGTTGAATACTCTTACATCAAAAAATGCACTTTGTTCCTTTTGCCAGAAGCCACGTATGCTGATGTCAAGCCTTGCCTTTTCTGATATGCTGGAATTTCTTGGGAGAATTTTCCACTGAGATGTTGTAGAGGTGGCTCAATTCTAACATCGTTAGAAATTTCTGTAGCTAACTTGATCAATCAGTCACCCGATCAATCATAACAGTCAATCAATCAATCGATATTCTCACACTTAGATAAAGAAAAAAATATTCTTTTTAGATGCATAGCTTTCACCGTCCAAAATAATTTGCTACCAGCAACAAAAATACAGATCATCCACAAATGAATGTATGAATTGATGAATGGACGAATTAATCAATTATTTAATTAACTAATGTATGAAATCAAGTAACGAGCTAAGATTCGAACATATAACCAGTTGGATTAGAAATCCACTGTCGAGCCTGAAATGAACAGGATGAATAATATACCGGGTGAATGGCTAGCAGTCCTTTTAATTTGGAAACAGAAGGACCATAAACAAGACACACTGGATTCTTAAAATAGAAAAATTGTATTTATAACGTAACATAACCCCCGTTTTAACATAACAATGTGATAACGATAAGGATGTCATGAGCTTGGGAAGGTCTGGAATAAGGATGTCATGAGTAGATTTTTTTTCGGCAAATTAATAAGCTTGGGAAGAGAGGGGGTATCCCAGACTCGAGAGTAGCGGAACTAAATTGCTTCAACATTTTTAGCAGGATCTCAAAACTCTTTGTTATTGTTGATGGTTCGCAGCCAAACTATGATGCTTTGAGTACATACTGACGATTGCCTGATTTTAACTGTTTAATTTACTAATTAGCTGATTAACTAGCTTTTAACACTGTAACTTATAATTTTTACCTCATTACCTTTTTTATATTGTTATTCAATTAACCTTAGAATCTTCATTGAAGAATCAATTTTATAATATGATTGTATTTTTATCAGTTTAATCTTATTTTGTATTTTTATTTTGTAGCATCTTTCAAAAAAATGTATCATCAAAAACTCATAGAGAGGAAAAAGGCTTTTGAGAAGCAGGTATAGATTGTTTGCTCCATCCTATAAAGTCAGATTGATTTTAATTGAATTTAATGAAAATTTTTGTTTACCGGTCTGTCACAAAGTTCTCTATGCCGTATCGGCAGAGTTGTACACACTATTTGTTTTATGGAACAGGACAATTTTAAGTTTGGGCTCCTAGTTCCACGCTTGATGTGACCATCAGGCAACATCAGACGATTGCATCAAGCGTGCAATCTCTGATGATCGAATTAATCGTGCAATTTCGGATGATCGAATTAAGCCTGAAACTCGGAGTAGCAACTTTGAACCGTACTGTTCTTTACATCAAAAGCATCAATTTAAACTCAAGTGTGATGTAATTCAGCACTGATATGTAAGAATTGAAGTAAGCAAACACACCACAATCATTACCAAATCAATGGTGAGTTTTGAAAGTCGATTCAAGCAAAGTGGTTAACAAAGATTGACAAACATCTCACTCCTTAACCACCTTGAATAACAAATTTTAAAATGTAGGCTAGAAACTTAAAAGCCAATTTCTAAATTTTCCTTGATTCCTGTGATCTCATCTATCAGGGACTGAAAGCTGTTGGAATAGTAGGTCGTTGATACAAATTATTAGTTATGTCTAACCAAGTTTGCAATTTTTCTTTGACAAAGTCTAACAAAATTAGTACCCGGTAGCAACGGTAGAAGGAGGTGCAGATTGACCGAGTAACCCGATTGCACCTAAGGAAAAAACAGGCCACTTTTCCTTATCATGTATCTTGGCCCAGAACATGTGCCCCTTCTCACAGAAACCTTCACCTTTCTGATAGTTTAACTTGTCAATTATTCGTCAGGAAAAGCATATCAAGGCATTGAAGCAATCAGGAAAGTCATCCAAGCAAGCTGTAAGTTAATTTACGCTTAATCTGTCAAAGTTTGATTATTTATAAAGCATACCAAACGGCAATTAGAAGAAGGAGGTTGTTCGATGTTGCTCAATAATTCATTTATACATTGCTGTCAATACATTCAATTCTCCATGTAACGCTGGGGCTTCTAACAGGTTGTTGGAGCTTTGAAGAAGATACCCTACGTAGCGGGGCATTAAAAGTGGGAATGATAAAGGTTTTTAAAACAGCGAAGGTCGTTAGCATTTTGGTTTTTACTGATTATTATCTGAAAGAAGATATCGGCAATTACGGTTGTTTGAATCTACGATGTAAGGCAATAAATCTTGTATGCTGTAACAAAAGCCATCTTTAATCGAGGGATGTCAGTTGTTTTGCGTTGTTGAATTTGTTATCAAGCTGTTAGTGACTTCTAAACAGAATGTCATTTTATATGTTGTTTATAAATTATCACAGATTGGATATATATATTTCCTCGCATCATGTAGGTATCGTCTTGTTAAATTGTTTTATAGAGTTTTATGAGAATATAAAATAACGATACATGAGCCTTGATGGACGATTAGCAAAAAATGATTGAGATTACACCATTGCCATACACCCGTCAACTAAGTGCCAGTGTAAATTTGTCCATCAGTTTCAACTTGAGATAATTTTGTAATCATAACTTCTAGATTTCTGTTGAGCCGAAAATCCCAAGCTTTTTGTTAAGATGTCTTAGCTAAGCCTCTCGATGTAAACCATCATCAAATCTCACATTGAGTGAACAATCGTATTTCCTTATTGGAAGCTACTCAGTTCCACTCAGTATCACTGTAAGAATGAATATAAAATAAGATGGTGATTATGGTGATTAAATTATTTACTCAGACCAGTGTTTTTCACGCCATAGTTTCTGATTTTTGTGAAAATAGGAAGCACAAGCCAAGAAAACTGCTGTCAGAAAGGACAAAAGCAAAAAGGATGAGGCTGTTGTGGTAAGCTCGATTCCACTATTTTTTATGTTATGTTTGAGATGAAATTGATAAGTTCTTTATTTATGTATTAGAAATTGTGCTATTTTGGGTTTTTCTGAATACACGGAATATTTTGGGATTTTATGCTTAATTTTATTCCTCTCGACCATGTTTCTTTTCTTTGATTCTATTGTTCTGAGATTTTCGACCCGCTTTGAAAGTTCAGCTTCGAGCAGAGTTCTGCTTCGCTCAATCGATTTTAGAGTTCAATTTCGAGCAAAGTTCTGCTTGGGTTCTACTTCCCTTGCAAGGCAGTTTGAAGAGGACTGATAAAAGTTTATCAGGCAAATAAACAACCCAAATTCAAGTGTGTACGGCAGCTGTCTCCATGGACTCACTTACCAAAGTTGATCCTATTCTATTTTGATGTTGCTGTTCCTTTTGTCAGCGGTAATTGACAATATGCGCAGCCAACGGGTCAGAACAATTTCTTGATTCGAATTTATATATATACACTCCCCTTAGACTTACTCCATGAGCCTCTGTTGTAGCGTCAGTCAAGTGAGGCAGTAGCGAAAAAGAGGCTCATGAAGTAAGTCTACACTCCCCTAACGAAAGTATCCGGACAGCTGAAAAAAGCAGAAGTTTTGCAACATTTTAATGTCTCTGTTTATTTTGGAACGGTTTTTCAAAAAATTATTATCACTAAGTTAAAAAGTGGTTATCGACAGCCTAATTTTTGTTTTCGTCTGAAAGCGCAATCGATCTTCGAACTTTCCGGGTACTTTCGTGAGGGGAGTGTATATGTTTAACTCCTTCATCATTTTGTGAAAATATCCAACAAAGTTTTGTTAACACACGTCTCAATGAATTGTACAGGATTCTGCAAAGAAACAGGAACTTTTGAGAAAGCCACGGGAATATGAAGTCAAATTCACAATACCATGCCCTCCTCCACTGAATCCACCAATTTTGGGCTTGAAAGGTAAGAAGAAGTCTTTTATGCAGTCTGTAATATTCTGAAAAATAATTTTAATTAATCAGCAGTCTGTGAGCTTCTTTACAATTGAATTTAATATTTCAGTCGTTGTACTGAACGTTTGTACACGAGAATAAACATTTTTGTACATTGCAAAGAAGCATTGTAAAAAAAGTACTCAACGTACAATGCATTTTTTATCTTAAATTCTTAACTGCTCATTTGTAATGTTTATTCATGTTTACCCAAGTAAGCCTTGAGTTCCTTTAAATGAAGTGATTCGTGTTTAACATTTTTTGCCAATAGCACAAACACAATTCACCCATTTTGAAAATTATTTTCCAGATGTCAAATTTGGATACCCCGACCAGCCTTTACTCTTCAAAATGGTTAATTTTGGTATCGATATGTCTTCAAGAGGTAATCACTTTATATATAACCTTGCCATAATTTTTGCATTTTATTCTTTTTTTCTCTACACTTTTTGCTTTTATGCACATTTGCTTTTCAGGATATCAATTTCTGAAGTTTGAATTTCAAAGATTTTAGAGTTCTTCCACTTAGGCCTTCTTTCTATAGCATTTTTTATCCATAGCATGAATTTTGTCTATTATAACATTTTATTGCAGCCAATCTACTTTTTTCTGAAATTTGATACTAAATCCCATTTTCGAGTATTTTCAAGCATTTTTTCTTCAATCCTCATTGTTTGGATGAAAGTTGTGCCAGTGTTGCCTGTTTTGATCCACAACTGGATATATATGTATATCTCCTTGGTTAGTTTTTCCGATCTATGTTGTGACGTCTATCCTCTAAAGAGCAGATCTACAAAAAATATTTTCCTTTTTGGGAACCTGGCACACAAAACAAAATTTTTTCTTTGAGGTGAAAGTATTGTGTACCAATAGTATGCCCAAACTTTTAAAACAGAGGCTTCTAATGTTTGTCCCTTTATCTGTTAATAAGGTCCTAGACAAGAAAGCTAAAGATTGCTTTCAAGTTATACAACTTTTTTGTGATAGTGAGTAACAGTTTATATAAAGGTTTCAAAAATGTGAAACTTCTTTATTTGATTAAATCTGTAATATACAGATATCTGTTCTGAAAAAGTCAAGAAAAACATTTTTGCTAATGCAAAAACAGCTGTTTTTTATCAAGTTTTGCTGAAAATTTTCTGTCAAGCCAAAAAATTTTCTGGGAACCTAGTTCCGATACTTTTTGCAACTCTACGCGAAATGCTTTTATATGTCATAAAATTTTAGCTTTTTTCAAAGCCATTTTCAGATTCTGCACCACCAAGAATTGTTTATAGATTATCTTGCCAAATTTATAATTGATGTCACTACCAGCAATGATCATAAAACATGATTAATGGTGAATCGAAAACAAGCCAAAAGAGCAAAAACAATTTACCTTGTCCATTTTTACGAGTAAAGAAGAATTTCTAAAATCTGTTTTAAGATATTTTCAAATTAAATAAGCAAATAAGCAATTTTTCTAACGAAATTACAAGAATGATTAATGCTGCATTAGTAAGATAGTAAATTACGTGAAGGCGTTTCTATTTTTTGATAATATATAACGCTAAGAAATCTTTTTTCTTGTTTAAATCTAAGAAAAACAATTTAGGAAGACTCAGAGGCTTTTGTTATTTAACTTGCTCTGAAATGTTCTACGCCATGTTTCCTTGACTAAAATTGCAATAAATGAATTTTTTCTGACTTTCTAACATTTTCTGAGGCAATTGAAATTATAAGCCAGTTGGTACATTTTTAATAGTTATGTTTCAAGTTTATACATAAAATGCATGAATTATTTACAAAGTGAAAGTTGATATTTGCAAAAATCAAAGTTAGACATTTACAAGAAGAAAAGTTAAATATCACACGATTAAGCTAAAACCTAGAAATTGCTTAAGTTTTTGACTTTGCTGCATGCTGTGAATTTCAATAGCGACATTTTCATTTCGCAAGTTCCTGGGTAAATTGTTAAATATCTTTGCTTTATTAAACGCGAATTTTTTCGTCTATCATCTCTCTAAACGTCTGGGATTGCCATCCTTTACAACTGTTCCTTGTAAAATGCTTTTTCGTTTATATTATACCGTTTTTTGTCTTATTTTGAACTGCAAAATTACATAGTGTTTAATTTCAATTGATCTTTGCATGATGCCTGTTTTGAATTTATCATGCTTTTGTCTTCTTGCAGTTGCTTTAGTCGGGCCAAATGGTGTTGGAAAAAGTACGTTTCTTAAACTTCTTTGTGGGAGATTACAACCAGTAAGTATCTTTTATTCCGTAAATTTATTATCAAATGTTTGCCCTCATTCTGCTTTGTTGTCAATATGCCTTCGATGCATCACCCCTTTCATTCTGTCTCAAAAACTAAAGATATAGTTATATTTTTACATTTTAAGTAAAAAGTAAAAAGTAAAAAGTTACATAAACTTTCAGGGACAGAAGCCCAGAGGCTGAGAACCTCTGAAAAAATCTGAAACAAATCTAGAATTAATATTAAACAGATTCATAGGCAATTGATATATATATATATATATAACATGTATAAGTATTATTTGAGTATGCCTGCTTTTATTCAAGTGTGTGGCTTTTCTGCAATTATCATTTCAAGCATTTTTTATATCGATAAATTTTGAGGATTTTTATTTCACTTACAACATTTGTTAGATGGAAATGATAATTTTGATGTTTCAACTACAAAGGAAACCTTTTTAAGTTCTTGAAAACCATGAATTTCAACTCATTTTCTATGTTAAACTAAACTGCTTACAACATTTTTAAATTCTCTTAGATTTCTCATCAAATCCAAGAAATTGTTATTGCAAGAATTTAAATTTATCTCAAAATACGTTACATATAACTCTCTATTTTGTAAGTTGCTTCCCGTTACAAATATTTATCAGTTAAACGTTTTTAAACAAGCATGTGTCAAGAATCTAGGTAAAGTTTTCTGGCATTGGCATTAGTGGTGTTAGAATGAGGGGGCTTTAAAAAAACCAAGGGAGTTTGATAAAGGACTTACCGAACGCATCATTTTCTGATGTTGTATGTATTAGTTTTTTATTTACGTTTTGAAGACTTCATCCTTCTTCCAAAGCATTTTCTTTCTTCATACTATACCTTTCGAATCTTTCGGAAGGTCATGATTATTTTTAATTGTTTTAAGTTCAAGTCTGTTATGGTCCATTACTTAAGAAATATAAATTTTATCATCGAAAGCTAATCAAGTTAACTTGTTTTTTTTAGCTGGAGGGAGAGCTGATAAAGAATCCAAGAGTGGTAGGTTTTGACACTGTGCATCAGGTTACCTACCGGTGTCAACAACAGAATACTTACTCACTCTAATTTTTATTTACTTTGATCAAAACTTTCAATAAATGCAAGGCAATTTCCATACCGTAAATCCTCGAATTAGCCCCCTAAGGTGCTTATTTTTTTATTTTTTTGGATGGGGGGTTTTTCTGGGGGGCTTATTGAAAATTTGTAGTTCTAGGGCTGGGGCTTATTCGAGGGGCTTTTTCGAGGGGGGACCAATTCGAGGATTTACGGTAATGATGTTAAAATTGTAAGATGATTTTTTTAAAAGTTACCAACTTTATCCCAACTAATGTTTTTGTGGATTTCAACTAAAATTTTAGTGTGATATCTAATAAGTAACGTTTCTAAATTATTTTTGTAGCGTATTGGCTTTTACAATCAACATTCGGCAGACCAGGTATATCATGTTTTTATTTCTTGTTTTTCAATATCTAATCTTAGCTTACATTTTTTCAAATATTTCAAATCTATTTGCTTCAATTTTTCTGACTCTATAGCCCAAAAAACCATTTTAATTCTGTCTTTCTAACACTGCCACTTTTTAAAAAAATGTAAGATCAGAAATTACGTTTCCAACCCTGCAAAGCATCAGCCAATCCCGAGTTTTAAAGTCAGTTTGATTTATCTCTTAATTAAATGCAAATAATTTTGGTTTTTCTTCTTAAGATCTACACTTTAATATATGTGATTAATTCTCGTCATTTCAATCTACGTTTTCCCATTAAGTGAAGTTTTTTCATTGAATGATCCAGCTTGTTCCGTTTGATATCTAAATGTACGGAATTCTTCCTTTCAGCTAAACTTGAACGAGTCATCTGTAGAATATATGCAGGTAGGCTACTTTGTTCTCAAGAATTTTTTTCTTCTCAATGTCGGAAAAACTATTGTGTTGGAGCCAAGGTGGTGCAGAGCACCGTTTAATTGTGTTGCCGTGAAATGGAGAAGTTGTTGTTTCTGTAAACTGGAGCAGTCTTAAAAATGCGCCTGAGGATGTTCTTTAGTCTTTTCAAGATAGATTAACGATAAAACTGAGGCATAAAAGAACCAAAGCACATAATCAGAGCTTTTTCCGAGTACGTCTCCCTTTTATGCAACATATGTTTGATGTCTAGCGTATTTTTAGACCTGTACGCAACAGAATCACAGCTGGCCACTCATACAAAACATTTATCTAGTGTGACAGTATGGTTTTATTCTGGATATGATAGTCAAACTGCATTTAAACGATGATTGCTCCTAAATGCAAGGAGAGCTGTCCCTGTCTTTTGGCATTAAGGTATTAAAGCGGGTATATATATGCACCTTCAAGCCTTTGTTTTAAGGACCGTTTTTTGTTTCTGTGAAGGTGTTTTTGGTTAATTTCTAGCGTGAATTCAACCTTGATTACCAAGATAGTCGAAAACTTCTTGGAAGATTTGGTTTACCCGGTCATGCACATACTATAAAGATCAGAGACCTCTCAGGTATGCAAAATATTTGCTGCTATTTTTCAGTCTTTGTAATTAAGGGTATTGAAGCTGGGCCTACTTCCGTGGATCCATTTATATGTGATTGCGTCACCGTAAGCATAACATATCGAGCGCCATTTGTGTTTTTCCAAATGTGAAAAAGTCGTGGTGCCTTCTGTACCCAAACAGTTTGCTGTATTTGAGGTGCTTATGGTCAATTTTACTAATGTTTCCTGGAGCAATAGAATTGGTCTTTAAAGGAAGTATTTATTTCAAACAATTGTAAAGTAGACTTGCATCTTTCAAGTAAAAAAGAGTTTTGTACTGTTATCCAAGTATGATAAACAGAAGAAGCAATGACTGATTTTAATTTAAGAGTTTAATTTGAAAAACATTTTGTGAAAGATTGTCTAGACCAGTCGTTGCCACCCAGGTTTTTGCCAACTAATGGACAATGTCTCTAATATTTTCGCTATTAAATTTTGTAACTCCTGATAAACATTGTTGTACGGTTTTTAGCTAAAGTTTGACTTTTTCAACTCTAACTCAAGAACTTAATCTACAATCTAAATGGCCATAGCCAATCGAGTGATAAACAGACAACCATTTTAACTGCTTTTTGTAAGTGTATTGTATGACTAAACAAAAGGTGGGCTGCTCAGCGCTGTGGCTGACGGCAAGAGGACTAGGTCCAAGCAAATACCCTGGGATTTTTGTAACTAGAACAAATATAATTCTTCATTTTACTCCTGTAGATCGACTATACTGATATTTAATTGCCAGACAGTCGCTACTATAAATGATGGTATCAAATGCATTTGAAATGTAATACTTATTGGCCTCAATTTCGTTTCAGGTGGGCAAAAGTCGAGGGTAGCTTTAGCTGATATGGCATCGAGGCAGCCTGATATAATTATCTTGGTACAGTATATTTTTTTACATTTTCATTCACTACGAGATTCGAGGGTTCGAGAATATTTAATTTTGATATTTATAAACCTTTAAAGAAATTCAAGCAAAGCAATTAATTAGAACTGTTAGATTTATTTATAACGTCATGGAAAGCTGCATGTGCTAATCGAATTTGTTGGTCGCAGTGGTAGTTAACAACCAGGCCCTAAAATCCTCCACTTTGTGAAATGTTTTGTTTTCGTTTTATTTACTTAAATTTTGATGTTCCCAGGAAGCTAGTTAATTTGAGATATTTCAATTATCGCTTCAACAAGCTAGCTAGCTTGAGATCCACAACCCTGTACCATATTGTTGGGAACTTAGTTATTTTCACGAATTTCGTTAACATCCCCGCCCCCTCTCCCTTTATACAATGGAGGGGATATGTTAGGAGGAAGGCTTGTTGCGATGATCCTAATATTGCGGAAAGTACGATATTTCGTAATAAAGCACGCATAGAACTTAAATTAAAAGGAGGGTCCTTCATATCTGATGCTCCCTCCTGCTACAGGCATGCCTAAGAGGTATCAGGCGTCCTTGCCAATGCGGAAAGAAGTATTAATTTGTTTAATTATATTTAACTAGGACGAACCTACAAATAATTTGGATATTGAATCAATCGATGCACTTGCCGACGCTATTAATAAATTTACTGGAGGTGCGTATTTTTCATTCGCTTTTTTGTCTTATGTTTACTGTAAGAAACCAATGTAATGTCTCACTTGGACCTGTAGTAGGACTTTAAAGGTAATGTGTCCATATAAAAGGACTGCGTTTACCCAACTTGTCAAGCCACCCATCAAAATAACAGTTTGCGATTGGTTAGTATTCTTGCGATGCAAAACTGCTCACATGAAAAGCTAACCTCGCAGCAGTATAGATAAACAAAACGACCGTAATGACTGGGGCGATGACATGAAAAATCACATGTTTCTAAAAACTCCTGCACAGTCGCTTGCTATAGCTGGACACATTACCTTTGAACAATAATGATGGAGATATAGTTATTGAAATTGTCTTAGTTTTACACTATTTGTCAGCTTTAGTGCAACAGAAAGCCGCCTTTAGAAACACATTACATTGTTCTGGCTCAACCCATTGGATAAATGCCTTAGTTTTTTGTGATTTTCATTCCTTTTGTAACGATAGAAATCTTATTTTCGAGTACATGTACAAAACAAATTTTTTAAACCTGAAAAAGATATTATTCTCGTTTATTTCATAATATTCTCATTCTCATTTATTATTTATTATCCATGATTTATTCAACATATTTAGCACATAAACTAAACTAAAATTTCTCCAATCAAGAAGCTAGAGATTTTGTTGATTAATTTCAAAGATCTAAAATTGTTACGTAATTTGAAGAACAGCAAGAGAGCGTCCGTTTTTCTAGAGCGATATTGGGTTAACCAGTAACATACACGATTTCAATCAAGACAATTTTGGAATAAAAATCAAATTTATGATTAATTGCAGCGATGGTTATGATGATGATTTCTCAATGAAAATCGTTATGATATTTATAAAATGAAAGATATTTTGATTATAATTTATCAATTAATTCTGTCAACAATTTACTGATAAATATATAATTGTGATTTCTCATTGTAAATTATTATAATATTTTCTCAGTCATATATGAATTGTTTTTCCCTTAGGGGTGATTATTGTCAGCCATGATGCTCGACTTATATTAGAAACAGACTGTCGTCTCTCGATTGTTGAGGACCAGTCAGTGGAAGAGATCGACGGGGATTTTGATGATTATAGAAAGGAAATTCTCGAAGCACTTGAAGAGCCTATTGCAAACAAACACTAACTTCTGTTATTCAAAATCAATTTTACATTTATTGGTTGGTGTAGTACAAAGTATAAGAATTTCCTTCGCACAACCTCGCTTTGTCCTGTTTTTGCATTTTCTTGTGGCTGATTTTTCTTGTAGAGCCAAAGAACACCACGTCCACAATCTGTTCTGATATTTTCAATGTTCTTCTACCTTCGCATCTTCCGATGTCTTTTTCGGTTCAGGTGCTCATTGCCTTGCAACCCAATGTTTACTCTATATTTTATACTTTAAATTTTAAACATCGTTAGCTTAGTATTTATGTTAAAAAGTTCCACGTCCAAAATCTTAAAAACTTTAAAAATCCGAATATTACAATTTAGAATGCCAATAGGGACGAAAAATATAGCTTTAATGGTTGTGCTCGATTGGGTATAAAGAGCAAAAATCCAGCAAATACAAAAGGGTGGAGGGGGACTAATTTGAAGATTTGCGCCAGAGGATAAAGGGATTCAATTTTCCCATTTGAGGTAATTGAACTCGAGGTTCTGTAAGAGCCTCGTTTGGACTAATTTTCAAACTGATAATAAACATGGCTGCTACCCACGTGGAAAGATCGCTAATCAACTAAAGGAAAAAGGTAATCGAAACGGCTATTTTCACAAATAAGTGTTATGGTAATTGTCATTCAATATTACGATTCCTTCCTGTGGTACATTTTAGGTTTTAAAATGCTCTATTAATGAGTAAAAGCATCCAAATCAGAAGCAATCGTTTATCTATAACGTGGCCAATGAATGAAAATCTATTTCAAATTTTTGCATTATTAGATCAACTATATTATATAGTTTCTTGTAATGTTATTAAAGAGCTCTTTATCAAGTCAAGTTATGATCGAGTTTTTATATTCAGTTTATATTTTGGGTTAGATAATAATCTCGTCGTTTTT